CCCACACTCTCTACCTTTGACTTAGTGATGAGGAAGGAGGACTGAAAGGAAAAGGAACCATGGCATGCCCTATCTTTCCTTTTCTTTCCATGTCATCCTTTTCAGCATAAGTGGGTGACTAATACAGGGAAGGAACATAAGTAAGAAAGCAAAAAGCTGGAAAAACAAGAAAATATCACCGGTTTCTATAAAAAGTAATAAAAAATGAACCATCACAGGATCTTGTAATGTACGAGGATGTTACAAGAAGAAAGAAGGAAAGGAATAGGAAAAACAAATATCAAATCAAGCACAAGCTCCAGAAGAATGTTGCAGTCTAGCTGATAAAAGTTATGACATTAAAACAATGAGCTACTGCTACACACCTGTTAGAATGGCCCAAATCCAAAACACTGATAACATCAAATGCTGCTGAGGATGTGGAGCAACATGAACTCTCATTCATTGCTGGTGGGAATGCAAAATGATACAGTCACTTTGGAAGACAGTTTGGCAGATTCTTATAAAACTAAACATACTCTTAACATAGCAATCATGCTCCTTGGTATTCGCCCAAAGGAGTTGAAAATTTATGTCCACACTAAAACCTGCACACAGATGTTTATAGAAGCTTTATTCATAATGGCCAAAACTTGGAAGCAATCAAGACGTCCTTCAGTTGGTGAATGGGTAAGTAAACTGTGGTACATCCATACAATGGAATATTATTCAGTGCTAAAAACAAATGGATTACTAAGCTACGAGAAGGCATGGAGGAATCTTAAATGCATATTATTACTAAGTAAAAGAAGCCAATCTGAAAAGACTACATACTGTATGATTCCAAGTATATGACATTCTGGAAAAGGCAAAACTATGGGGATGGTAAAAAGATCAGTGGTTGCCAGGGGTTAAAGGGAGGGATGGATAAATAGGCAGGACACAGCGGATTTTTCTGGCAGTGAAAATACTCTGTATGATACTATAATAGCAGATACAGGTCATCATACATTTGTTAAAATGTGCAACACCAAGAGTGAACCCTGATATAAACTATGGACTTTGGGTGATAGTGATGCATCAATATAGTTTCATCAATTGTAATAAATGTACCACTCTGGTGTGACATGTTGATAGTGGGGGAGACTATGCATATGTAGGGGCAGGGGAAATATGGGAACTCTCCGTACTTTCTGCTTGATTTTGCTATGGACCTAAAACTTCTCTAAAAAATAAAGTCTATTTAAAAAATTGTGACAAAACATATTGGAATTAATTTAAAAAAGAATCAAACCAAGAGCCTAAAGCAGAGATACAATAGATCAGGGGAGATATGTTGGAATAACAAAAGTTGCTGAAATGTAAACAGGTATAATACAAATTACCAAATAAGATTCAAGGGAAGATAGGATATCTATATAGATCAATTATATCAAAAGAAATAGAGAAAGCTGCCAAACATATATCATCTCTAAGAAACACAGAGCCCAGAATTAAAAAAAACCAAAAAACCCTATGATTGAAATTACAGCTATAGTGGAAGAAACATGAAGGAAAACAGACTGCTGAATATAGACTAGAGGATATAAATGAAAAATCTGAGCAAATGAAAAGGAAATAAGGGCTTAAAAAGTTAAGAGGCGCTACCAGTCTGTGTAACCTAGAACAGACTCTTTCCTCTCGCCTTCTGTAGAATGAGTTTTGTTCTTCTATGAATTGATGTATGGATTTTAAAAACTAGTCTCATTATCTATAGTATCATCTTAAGCATAAACTACATAAAGTAAAGGCATGTTGTTTTTGAAAAATGCCAAACTTTTAAAAAGTAAAATTAAATAATTTTAAAACAAAAAATAAGGTAATATATATTATTTTAAGTTTAAAAATTAAAAAAAAAAAACAGAGAAAACGATGGAATTGGAAGACAGGGAAAGGAGATCCAACATATGTATAATTGAAGGACCAAGAGACAAATCATCAAATTAATGGGACAGAACAGAAGTTTATTGACATAATTCAATAAAACTTTCCTTAAATAAATGACTTGAATATACTTGATAAACAAGTAAGCTAGGTCCCAGAGAAAATTAACTGAAATGGTCCACATGGAGACAGATATTAATATATATTCTGTACTTCAAATATACATGTAAAGAATTTTTTGAATATTGTTGGAATTTAATAATCATAACTTCTGATTTCTTTCTGTTTGGCATTTTGCCATTCTTTTTTATTTAACTTTCCTAAATATTTTTAAATTTTAGTTATATTCCTATATATGTTATAGAATAGGGTTTTTTATTTTTATTTATTTTTATTTTTATTTTGTTTGTGAGGAAGATTAGCCCTGAGCTAACGTCGGTTGCCAATCCCCCTCTTTTTGCTGAGGAAGATTGGCCCCGGGCTAACATCTGTGCCCGTCTTCCTCTACTTTATATGGGATGCCACCACAGCATAGCCTGACAAGTGGTGTGTCGGTCTGCACCTGGGATCCGAACCTGCAAACCCTGGGCCGCTGAAGTGGAGTGTGAGAACTTAACCACTATGCCACCAGGCCAGCTCCTAGAATGGGGTTTTGTTTTGTTTTGTTTAGTCTAAAAGTCTTTTTTTCTGATTGATATAAGAAATGTCTGTTATTTTATTATTTTTTAAGTTGCTTTTGTAAATATCTTACTATACAGAGTCTTTGTTGTGTTTGATCATCTAGGCAATAAGATCAAGTCACTCATAAGGAATAAATCAGGCTGACCTTAGGTCAGCAACATTCAGGGCTAGAAAACAGTGGAACAACACTCCAAAATCCTCCTAAGAAGAAAATGTGATCTACGGATTTTATATCCAGCCAACCTTTCCTTCTGTTATAAGGGCAATTTACTATTTTCAACATGTAAGAACTCAGGGAATATAGTTCCCATGAGCCCTTCTTGAGGAATCTACTGGATAAAAAGTACATCCAACTACATGAGGACTGGAAAAACTGATAAAAATATCAGTGGTGTGCATTGAACGAATCTATTGAACCATAGAACCTAGACTTAAGCAAATACGGAAATTAGAATGACATAACTGAGTGTAAATATTATTTTCCCTGATGATATAAATCTTATATAATTAACAAAAGTTGGGAAGTAAAGGGAGAAAGAAGGTGAGAAGTTACGTAAGTGCTTATTTCTTCCTAATTGATGGGTTAAAATAGGGATTGTCTAATTATGGTTGACAGGCAAAATCCAGCCACCACCTGTTTCTATAAATAAAGTTTTGCTGGAACACAGCTGTGTCTATTCATGAACAGATTGTTTATGGCTGCTTTCATGCTGCAGTGGCAGTTAGGTAGTTGTGACAGAGACCATCTGAACTGTGAGGTCTAAAATATTGATTGTCTGATCCTGTACAAAATAAGCTTGCTGACTCAGGTTAAAGGATACCATTTAAAGCTAGCAAATCAAGTAATAAAGGTAAAACTTCATGTGACAATTCTAAAGTAAACACTGAAAAAGTGATGGGGAGTAGAGAGGGATAAAATAGAATAATTATTGTTATTGATCACAGTAGGGAATTGATAGATAGGATCTATAGATATAGAGTCATCAAGTGCTATATAAAGTTGGAAGTATAAAAGTAACCTCTAGAACAAAAATACACATGTTCTTAATTATCAGAAGAAACACACAAACACAGCAAAGAGTCTACATAGTAGAATATTTACAAAAGCAATAAAAAACCCATAAAATAACATGACATTTATGTCTTATATCATTTAAAGAAAAAGACTTTTAGATATATCATAAGGCAAAACCTGATTTTATGCCATATGTAAGAACGTAACTAAAATTTAAAAATTCAGGAGGGATGAATATAAAAGAAGGGCAAAATGCCAAACAGAAAGAAATCAGAGGTAATGATTATTAACTTCAGGCAAGGCTGAATTCAGGCCAAAAAGGAGTAAATGAGATAAAAAGGAACACATTATAATGTCAAAGAGTGAAATTCACTATATGTAAATTTTGGATATTCTAAGCACCAAATAGCATTGCATTAACATTTTCAAGCAAAAAATATAGAACATGTCAGGAGAAATAGGAAAAAGCAGATAGGCTATTTTAATTTACGTGTGCAGGTCTATGAAAGATCAAGGGATCAAAATTAAGGATATGGAAGAGTTAAACAACCTAATTAATAAAGTTGATCTAAATGATATAGATAATGAGATCATACTAAACATATTGTTTCTGCAATCTTTTCTTCACTTTATGTGTCTTAGAGATCTTTCCATACTATTACATACAGTTTCATCTCAAAAGTGAATTGCTCTTTAAAAAAGTTCAGTGTAAAGTATTTTTTGAAACGTTACAGCTGATATTTACAGAGTTTCTAAACAAATTAGTGGCTTTATGTTCCCTTTGACAAGTCACTGCCTACTCAGGGTTTGTTGTTGTTGTTTTCTAAACCATGTTGTGTTTCCTTTTGGGGGTTATATTTCGTGGCATTAATTGAGGCAATTGCTGTCATCTCAGCAATGCATAATACCTCGTCTGATTCACAGGGAAAGATGGGACTGGGTGAACTCTCAGCACGGGGGCAGGAGGGTGATTCTGACAGTTGGGCCTGTCTGGAGTGGCAGATTGAATGCCGTGTGTCGGCAGCAGGGTTGAGAACATGGCTGGGGAGCAAAACGTCAAGACAGAGACACCTTGCAGCTATTCCCCTATTCATGACTCCAGGCCTTACCTCCTCCTTCCTGAGGACGTGGAGATACGCATGTTTAGCTTAGAAGACTCATTTGAGTCTTTGACATGATAGAATTTCAGTTAAACAAGGCTATTTTTAGAGTTACCAGTTAACTGGAGAGTTAATTCTTTGTGAGGATCTTGCATGGCAAGATTCTTCTGCTTTCCTTTGACTTCCCATCTATAAATACTTCCTGTACCTAGGCCACCTATATCTGTCGGTTAAACAGTACGGCAGAGCAAACAGCCCATGCCATCACCCTAAAGGACTCCCAGAGGTGGCAACTTGTGTCCACACTGTCTTTCTGCCCTCTTCTCTCATCAGAATTCAACACTTGACCTTCCCAGCCCCAACTACCCTTACAATCCCTGTCACACTCCTAGCTCTCCCTTAGGCTATGAAAAAAAGAGCTTTTAGGAGCAAGGTCCCTTGTTACTTGTGCTCACTATCAATGCTGCTAAAATCTACACGGTGGTTGTCTTCTCCACTCAGTGCTGTGGGGCTCCATGCAGATAGGGTTTACTGAGGAGGCCCAAAGGTGGGAATGCTCCGATGTCCAGCCTCTTTCCCTGCGTCAGTTCAATGATGCAAAGAATCCTTTCCTTGGGAGGGTCAGATGCTCTGGCCCAACACCCTGTCTGATCTGAAGCCAGCAGTAAGCCAAGCAATCTGTCTAAACACATCCCCTGTGACAGCTTTGTGATGCACACGCCATGCTGAGGCACTGCAGGTGCAGTGGGATCTGCCCTAGGAAGTGAGTTAAGAAAGCCTGGCACTGGAGTCACTCTAGTGAGTGGTACTCAATAGGAGCGCTACTGCCCTCTAGGGGACGATTTGAGAAATTTAGGAGTATTTTTACTTTCCCAATGATTGGGGGTGCTCCTGGCATTTATTGGGTAGGATCAGGGATGCTGGTCCCACCACAAATTCATGTAGTTAAAAAAGCCCATTTGTGGGGCTGGCTAGGTGGCGTAGTGGTTAAGTTCACGCACTCATCTGCGGCCTGGGGTTCACAGGTTCAGATCCTGGGTGCAGACCTACGCACTGCTCATCAAGCCATGCTGTGGCAGGTGTCCCACATATAAAGTAGAGAAAGATAGGCGTGGATGTTAGCCCAGGGCCAATCTTTCTCACCAAAAAAAAAAAACAAAAAAAAACCCATTTGTACTTTCCTGAACCTGGATGTTAACCCCATTTTACATAGGAATACAAATAAATTTTTAGGCAGTGATAAAATACACTGAGTTTTCCAGGAACCCAAGTACCTTGTAAATCAATGGACTGTTTTTTCAAGTAATAGTATCCTCACTTTTTGCTTATTTGATTTAGGTGCAATTTGAGAACTACAAACTTTTGCTTTTCATTTAGATTTTTTCTCCCTCAGCACAGATCCATGAGGAATAAGTCTATGTAGTAGAAATATTTAATACACAACACATGCTGAATAAAATCTTGAACATATATTTATAATGCAGAATTTATGAAAGACCAATGATTAGTTTGAGACCACATGCCTCAACATGTTGGCTGCTTACACCTGAATTTCTCAAATAGGAGAGCTACAGATTGATCCCAAATTCTCTAGAAAATGCTTAAAATTTGTGTTTCTGTTATGATGACACTAAAAGAAATTAAGCAAACGTGTTCTGGATTACCCAGATGACCACCTTCTGATGATTATTGCCACTAATTTCATGCCTGTGTTTGTAGTTTTGTTTATGATCATCTTGGGAACAATCGCACTAATTTAATTTTTGTTGGCCAACAATAAAATAACAGAAAAGAACTTAAGCTCCAGCTGTAGGGCAAAAGTATTTATGAGAAATACTCATTTCTTTAAAAAAACACAGAGATGAGATCTTACTCGGTCTACATTTAATTGCGTGTTGTGTTTCGACATGGACAAAGTAAGATGGTGGATGTTACTTGGGTACAATTGGTTTAGATTTTGCCCTCCTTAGAGTAACTCTATTCCAGAATAACTGGGAACTGCACTTTATTGAAGCCCAAGGGCAAATAGTTCCTTGGTGGAGTTGTCTCTGACACGCACGTCCCTCATCTCTCCATGTATTTCCTCTTCCTTTTCTATAGGCTTGAAGACAAAGCTCTCTCAAGAAAGCCGATACAGCTCTCTGCTATGAGGTCCAAGCAAACATGTTTTCCTGACCTGAAGCTCTAGCTAACATAATTAGAAACTCAGTTTGTAGAAAGGCTCACCATTAATACATTAATGCTCTGTAAGACAGATAAACTGTGCCACTAGGTCACTGTGTGGACACAGATGTTTCAAATTTAAAAAAGGCTGCTTATCGCCTGTGAACTATTTTCCAAATATTTGCTGTGGAGTCAAGTCCCTATAAGGGTGCATCCTGTATTAATTGGGGGGCAGACAGCAAAAATTTGTGATTCTGGAGTTTGCACAAGAACCCAAAGTACCATGACTTAAACGAGATAAAGTTTATTCCTTCCTCATGTGTCTAGAGATGAGTGTCCAGGTGTGGAGAGAAGCTTTGCCATCCTCCACTTATGGATTCTGTATCTGGGTCCAAGGCACTGCTCTAGCTGTCACCATTTCCATCCAGGAGAAAGGGGAAAATGGGAAGTCCCAGGTAGGGGCTCCATCTTTAAGACAGTGCTTTAGTAGCACATCACTTCAGCTCACGCATGATTGGCTCCAACCTAGTCACATGACCACACTTAGCTGCAAGAGAGGCTGGCAACTGTAGTCTCTAGCTGGGATAAAATTGGAGTCTTCTTACCAAAAGGAAGAAGGGCAAATGAATACTAGGGGACAATTAGCAGTCCTTATTTTTAGCCCATGTCTCTCTTCTCTTTTCCTACATTCCAGCCACACAAAATATACTACCCACATATGTATTTTGTTTCCTGGCTCTGGGCCTTTGTGCCCCCATCTCCTTTTGTCTGGGAAGCTTTTTCCTCCTCCATTTGTAAAAAAAGAGCCAGATGGAGAGAGAGAGAAACGAGAGATGGGGAAGACTTTATAGAGGAAGTGGTATGTTACCTGTGCCTTGAGGAATGAGTATTTTGACAAGGGGAGGAGGAAAAATGTGTCCCAGACAAAGGGAGGGGTGAGCACAAAGACCCTGCACCAGGAAACAAAGCACATGTTGGGATAATCAATGGTATCATCCATGGTATACCTTTTATTACTTTATTCGTAAATTTGTGAATTTTATTTATTTTTCCTGTGAATATATCTTATTTGTGAATATGTTTTATTTTTCATGAATAGTTTGGAAGCTTCTTGGAGCAAGGCTCAAGACTTTTGCTATTTTGAGTTTGAATCCCAGCTCTGCCACTTAGAAGCTATGTGACCTTGGCCACGCTACTAAGACATGCTAAATGTGGCGTTTTTTCTTTGGTAGAAATGGATGAATAACATTACCTGCCTGAAGATTAAGTGAGATACTTCATCTGAAGGCCTTAACACCATGCCTGCTGCACAGTTTGTGTTCAATAAATGTGAACTAGTGCTATTACTGTCTTGTGTTGCCATCATTTTCTAGTGTTATCAGAATCTCTCATATTCTGTCTGCAGGTCAGCACTAAATAGAGAATTGTTGTCTTGAAATAAGGTATTTATGGCATATTTATTATTAGACTTGGGGAAACACGATAATACCCAACATTTGCCCAGCTCTTGGCAGGGCCACCTGAGCCTCACCACAGCCTTGTGCGGTGGGTATGACTGTTCCCATTTCCACATGGGATGGAGTGTAGGGAGGACAGCGACTTGGTCAAGGTCACGCAGGTGGTCTCAGGAAGGTCTGACTGGAGCACAGCTCTTCGGAATCCGTGTTTGATGCTCTTTCCACTTTCCGCCCTGATGTCTGGTACTTTTGAAGAATAAAAGACTGCAAAGGCTATGTTATTTTTGTGAATTGTAAGGGGAGTTTTTTCTGCAGAATTGCGAATGAAACCGATTAAAGCAGTTTAGAAGGTGTTGGCTGTTTTGTATTCTTCAAAAGATGAAGGAGCCAAGCCTGGGTGGGGGCAGGCCAAGGGCCTGGATGAGCTTCCTTGCGAGCCTCCTTCAGCCTCAGGAACCCTGCCTCTTCCTGCTCGCCGTTTGTGCTGCTAGGTCCACCAAGGGCCGCTTCCTCTTGCACCTAACAGGTGTTCTGTAAATGTTTGGATGACAGTTCCTGTGAAATCAGGTCTTAAAGGTGGATTATTGGGATCTGTGATATGAAGAACGAGGTGCAGAAGGTGAAGCCCAAATGTGCTGGAAATTGTAAATTGAATTTAACAAAACACAAATATATGCAAAACCTATAAATCAGGCCTTATACACCCAAGTAAAGCTGGCTTCAAAGCCAGAGAGTGCGTGCATCACGAAGGCCCAGTAGAGGGAGTGTAAACTAGAAAGTGGCGTCGGACTGCAGAGCGAGGACGTTAGCCACGCCGAGAACTGTGGCAGAAGCTGATGCTCCTCGGAGCAGGCGCCCAGCGAGCTCAGGTGAGAATAGAGCATCTCCTGTCGTCTGTCCACAGCCCCTTCTGTCTCTAGTAAGTAAGGCAGCCTGGGTCAAGGACAGCGACCAGCCCAGGTGGCCGCACCTTCTCTTGGCATTACTTATAGTTGGGGAGCCAGGCCCAGGCTTTCACTACAATGAACAGCACCCTCTCTACCAACCTTTAGGGAAGACCTGTACAAACCAGAAATTACAAATAAACACCTAGTCTTAACACAACCTGCAGGAAGGCGGTGCTTCTTCACAGGAAGAGAAGTGGTTTGTCTCTGGTAAACAAATGGTGGTGATCCTGGCTAAAGTCATCATTTAGAACTCCCAGCAGCCAGCAGGCATCCCAGTGCAGAAGCAGCCCATTATCTTGCTTAATTATATTGTGGGCTCGAGCAACCCAAAATAGAACATACTCAGAAATATAGTTATTGAGCAATGTATGGGATTTAGTACAGAAAACAAGAAACTTTATTGAGGGATATAAAAGATTTGAGTAAAGGGGAGAGATATTATGTTTTTAGATGTGAAGACTTGAAATTCTGGGTCTGTTGACACAGTGCACTCCACAAAGTGTTGAGGTGAAATCAGAGATCTTGGCTAGTGTTAACTGCAGCCAGGAAACCTGGGGACACTGAGAAACCTTGAGCCCTGGTGTCACTCAGGGGAGGCTAGTTCCACAGCTTGGCTTTAAGAGACTTTGCCGAGTGTTCTTCCAGACAGGAGCTGGAGAAGGAGGCTGGCTGCAAATTCCCCACAAACACAGACCTGGCTCAGCATCCTGGTGACAGGGAAGGTCTGGAAAAACCAAGGGAGGAAGAATAATGATACCTAACGGGACTTTCACATACAGAATTAGGGACTGGGGAAACCTGAGGTTCAGGGAAGCCATCAGTGAAATAAGATGGAAACCACTTGCCTTGCCAGGAACTTACTAACACGACATGGGATCAGCCAGCCTGTTACGCAGATATAATGAAAGAGAAAGTGTTTCCGCTGTTATTCCACAGCCAAACCACAGATCCTGGCAACTTCTCGCCTCTGAGGCAACAAAGACACACTCATAGGGTTTGGCTCCTTTCTGCTGAATCCGACACCTTAAGCTAAGAAGTCAGTCACGCAAGGCTGGCCTGCTGGGACCAGCTGGAAAATACATCCACGGCTACTGCAGAGCTCTCTACTCTCCCTCCCCCTCAGTCTCTCCTCCCCTGTGCCCGCACATACGAGTCCTGGGAATGCCTGTCAATGACGTGACTGATGGTTTCTTCTGTTTTGCTTCCAGGAAACTTTTTTTTGGTTTGAAGCTATTGAACCAGGAGAGAGAAGTACTTTTTACCACTTTGGAGACACTTTGTGGACAATTCATTGAGAATTCTCTAATATCCAGTTACCAAAGATATCTTTGGACCAACAAATTGCTAAGCCTTGTGCCAGGTCGCAGAGACGCAAAGATAAAGAAGGTTGGAGTTTTCTTTTCTGTTCATTATCCACCAGACTGAAGAGAACAGCCTGGGGACTTTGTTCAAGAGAAGAAGTGTCAAAGGACCTGGATTTGGCTCCCGGCTCTGCCAGGTGATCACAGAACAGTCGCCCGTGCTCTCTGAGCCTCAGTGTCCTCATCTGTAAGATGGATCTAGATGACCTCACTGCCCCACCCAGCCCTAACATTGGATGTTGGCAAGTCTGTGAGCACAGGCAGAATCATGAGTAATGGGAAGAATCTTGTTTCTGTGTTCTCAGAAAGCCTGGCCATCTGATTTTTGCTTCTATTATTATTATGTAACAGTTGATAGGTGCAAAAGAATGTGAGTACCACACAGGTAGGTGTAAAGCATAATGACAACAGGAGGACCCGTGAACCTTACTTAGAGGAGAACATGACCACTACCATTGCCTCAGCTGGTGGGCTCCTCTCCTATGCCAGGCCCTACAGACCCCTAGAAAAACCAGCATTCTGAATCCTATTTCTACAAAGCCCTGGTCTTAAAGAATAAACAAGTTAGCAGATATGCATACAACATCAAATCATCTATTATTTAGTTTTGCTTGCTTCATAAAAATGGTATTAGACTACACACAGTATTTTTTCCACTTGTTTTTTTCGTTCAGTTTTATGTTCCTAAGATTCGTCCACATGGCATGTAGTTCATTATTTTCGCTCCTGTATATAACATTTTATTGTGGCATGAATAAATAGTTATTTATTCATTCTCTGGCCACTTTGGTCACTGGTTGTTATTGTTTCCGGTTGCTTGTTATTATTTTCGGTTGTTATTACAATGTCGCTATGAATATTCCTATCCATAAATGCTGTGTAAGAGCTTCTCTGGGGTTTATACTTATAATCACATGAATCTTGGGCACATGTGCAAGAGTTTCTCTAGGGTAGAATTGATAGGCTATAAAGTATGTGAGCATTCAACTTATTTTTTTCAAAGTGGCTGTACCAATTTAGACTCCTACAAACAGTGTATAAAAATTCCAGTTGACTCACACCCTCCCCAAGACTTTGACAGTGTCAGATTTCCTAATTTTTGCCAATCCAGTGGGTGAAAAGTGGTATCTCACTGGTGTCTTAATTAATGTCTCTTCAATTACTAATGAGGTTGAGAGAGCTTTCATGTATTTATGGGCTACTCATGTTTCCTACTCTGTGAACTGTCTGATCCTATCTTTTGCCCATTTTTCTACTGGGCTCGTTGGCTTTGTATTTATTCATTTATTTATTGGACTTTGAAGATTAAAAAACAACAAATCCTCTTTATGTGTGTTTTATTGGTTACACATATTGCAAATATCTTCTTCTGGTTTGTGGCTTTTCTGATCACTTCCATCATGGGATCTATTGTTAAACAGAAGTTCTTAATTTGAACATAGCCAAATTTATTATTTTTTTCTTTCATAGTTTGTACTTTTTAGAAGAATCATCACCACCCTGTTGTCCTAAAGATATTCTCCTACATTGTCTTCAAAAGTTTTAGAGTTTTCTTTTTACACCTAAGTCTTAAATCCACCAGGATTTGATTTTTCTGTATAGTGCAAAGTAGGATCTAATTACAGTTTTTTTTCCCCTATGTAGATAACCAATTGGCCCTGCACCATTTACTGAAGAGTTTGTTGTTTCCTTAGTGATCTGCAATGCCTTCTCTTTCATATCTCCAAGACCCACACCCTTCTCCTTTTCTCTCTGCCTCTGTTTCTGGGTTCTCTAGTCTATTCCACTGGACAATTTGTTTGTATCTGTGCCAGTACCACACTGTCTTCACTACTGCAGCTTTGTAATAAGTCTTTTTTTTTATTTTTTATTTTATTTTTTTTTTATTTTTTTATAATTTTATTTATTTATTTTTCCCCCAAAGCCCCGGTATATAGTTGTATGTCACAGTTGCACATCCTTCTAGTTGCTGTATGTGGGACGCGGCCTCAGCATGGCCAGAGAAGCGGTGCGTCGGTGCGCGCCCGGGATCCGAACCCCGGCCGCCAGCAGCGGAGCGCGCGCACTTAACCGATAAGCCATGGGGCCGGCCCAACACAACCACTTTTAAACAGAGAACATAAGAACATGTAATTAGAAGAGGTGGGATATTGTCAGTACAGCTATATCTTCAAAGTCGGCGGAAGGGCGGATGCTGAAATCTGGAGTAGCTTTTCTGGAGGGGCATGAGGCTAGTCTTCTAGTCTGTTCCAGGAGAACATGCTCCAAGGCAGGGAGTGGAGTGTGTAAGTAGCTGAAGTAACTAGGCTGAAGGCATTTACTGATAACTAAAAACAAGGTCACAGGGTTTTCTCTGGCATATTTCCAGCTATACTATGTGGAGTCTTGTTTGGCTCATTTAGGATTCTGCAGTTCTCCAGGCAGCGAATTCTTCCTGGCTGAAATATTCCTGAGAGAATGCAAGCTCTGTATCTGCTGGAGGCGCAGGCTTAGTTCCTGATTACAGGCCTGTTGAACAGTTTCCGTCTTCTTTATGTCCCAGTTCAAAGCAACAGCCAATGCTTTGGGGTCTTCCTTGGTAACCAGCTCCAAATCCTGACTAGACAAACTCAGCTCCGGAGCAGGCTTCTCCTTCAGTGCAGTGAGAATCTGGCTCCTAAGTGTAATTTCAGGGGAGCTCTCTCTGCTAATTCCCGTGTCAACTGCATCCCTCTCGTCACTGAAGCCAGCTTTGGAATCTTGCTGCTTTGACAAGATGCTGCCCTCCTTCTCCAAAGCCTGGAGGTAAAGCTCCAAGAGCTGCTTGGACTGACGGGCTTTCTCCCTCTGGTCAAGCACCTGCTGGAGGGTGTTCTGGAGCCCCTGGACCGTGACACAGCTTTGGCACAGTTCCTGAGCCAGGTCTGAACACGGAACATCAATGAGCACCTGGAGATCATGCTCTGACAGGAGGATGATGCTGGATAGATCTTCTTTTAGCTGCCTGGCGACATTCTTCCACTGCAACTCTGACCCGCTGTCTGGTTCATCTACCTCAACGGACTCTTGGGAAATCCAGGCTGTACCTCCATCTGAATTGCAGTATGCCCACTTCTCATTACCGGCCAATGCCACGAACTTAGTATTGGAAGGTAGACACAGGAAGTAATCGTCATCATCCACTATGGTGCCATCCTCTGCCAGGACCAGGGTGACTGCCAGGGACTTATCAATGGCCAGAATGTCATAGGCCTTGCTCCTCAGCTCCTCGAGGCTGGAGGCCGCCACGCCGTGCTGTTCGCGGCTGTGGTTGCGGCGCAGCAGACACGGCTTTAGAGGCCGGGTCTCGCCGGGTTCTGCAGCACCCACGTCCCCGGCCACCTCCATCCTCTTCAGGGCGGGACCTCTGTAATAAGTCTTGATATTCCTTTTCAGGAGTGCCTTGTTTATTCTTAGGTCTTTGCTCCTCTACATAAATTTGAGAATTATTGGTGAAGTTCCTCAACAATTATACTTGGCTTTTTAATGGAATTGGATCCAATCTTTAGATCAGTTTGGGGAGAAGTGAAATTTGTATGATATTTCCAAAAAATTATATTATTGTCCCTGAATAGCTAATGTCTAGTGGGGAAGACAGACAGAGACGCATCATTATAATACCATGTGGTAAATACTACATAAACATGAAGCTCTGAGGAGGAGTTAGGGAAAGTGTTATAGAGAATGGAACATGTGTGAAGATTCCCAGTGAACAGAGACTCTGTACTCTTGCCTCGGGTGTAAAAAGTCTGTCTATCCCATTTTGTCAGATCTTCTCAGGAGACAACTACCAAGGCTACCCTTACTGAAACCCAAGGGGTTGGGTTAGAATTGCTGTGTTGGTTGGACAGCTGTATGAGTCTGCCCTGGACCTAAATCCAAACCACTGTGACCCATCCGTTCTCTTCTCTGTGTCCAGACTTGGACATCAGCACATGTCATCTCTTCCAGTGTTATGTTCACCCCACACCCTAAGTGTTTTGGTTACCTCAGTAGGTCTGACTTGTCTTTCCCAGACACACCTACTTAGGGTCTCTTCACAGTCTTTTTATGAAGCCAATTTGTACCAATTTTGCAAATTTAACTTTTGGTAGCTTTGCCTCCAAGGTTTTATTCAATTCTGAACCAAATTTTCCTGGTCATACTTCAACCATCAATCAGTACAGACCACCCAGTGCCTGTTATAGTGCTAGACACTTTTAGGGGATATAGAGTCAAAAGGTTTGGAGTCAGGTAGACCTGGGTTCGAGTCTTGGATCTGCCTTATTAGCTGGGTGACACTGGGCCAACCATTTAACCTTTCTGATTAGGTGGTTCTTCATGTATAACATGGTATGGTAATTCTAAGTTACAGATCATATATATAAAGGGTTTTGTACATAAAATCTTTTAAGCAAAGGAGGAACAAAATAAAAATGTTAGTTTCAAAAACTAGAACATAGATGGGGCTGGCCTGCTGGCATAGTGGTTGCGTTTGCATGCTCCGCTTCAGCGGCTTGGGGTTTGCAGGCTCGGATCCTGGGCGCGAAGCTACACACTGCTCATCAAGCTCATCAGGCCATGCTGTGGAGGCATTCCACATGCAGAGTGGAGGAAGATTGGCACGATGTTAACTCAGGGTCAATCTTCCTCACCAAAAAAAAAAAAAAGATAAAAAAAAACCTAGAACATTGACAATAACAATACAAGAAGATAACTTGCTTCTGAGATAATTTTTTCCTCAGAGGAGCATATCTTAGTGGGAGCTAAGCCACTCAGAGAGGACATCTGCTAAGAGAAAAGTGCATGCTAATAGAGTCCAAGAATCACATTGACACTCCACTTTGATCCAGAAAGGATTTAAGTTATCGTGTAAAAATAGGTAAATTAGAAGCAACAAAAAAGCAGAGTAAATTCAAGGGGGGAGATGTACAGTGAAAGTGGGCAGGAGAAAGTACAGAAAATACACCCCAGGGAGTCCATTCCACACACTTCCTTTAAAGAGGCCACAAATTTGATACTAAGCTTTCCAGTGGCCACCATCAATATTCACAACGACAACTCTAGATAACTACAGGGAATGCCAAATACAGGAGAAGGATGAGCATGGAGAGGGTAGGGGAGGCTCCTTGAAAATGATGAGGTTTAAGCCAAGTTTTGAAGGATGTTAGAGCTCTGTATTCCAGAGGGAGACACCCAAGCAAAAGATATAGGAGGAGAATAAAGAGGTTGTCCTGGGGTACAGGGATCCATTTGGATAGTCTCAAGGTAGGGCAAATGACTGAGGTCTTTAATATCAGTCCTTAGATTTCACAAAGGGAGTTCTGACTCTCCCTGAGGAGAAAATGACCTGATGAGAGTGGTATTTGGAGGAGATTGTCCTGGCACCACACAGCTGAAATTTTCCCCTTTGCAAATTATAATTCATCATGAGCAGTTAGGAAAACGCTGTCACACACGTCTCTCCTGATGTGGCTCACATCTGGCTCTGCCATTGGCAATACAGAATATTTAGAAAATCTGTGCAGCATTAGTGTCTAATAACCTTTGCTTTAAACACAGTGAAGCAAACCACAAACTTAGACATGGCACATATCCCTCTGGAGTAATCTAGTCCAGATTCCTTGTTCCTTGTGTAGGAAATCCCTCGTTGTAGCTGTATCTAGTAGACTGGACGATGGCAGGAGTGTTGAAAACTAGGGAGGTTGAAATTAATCTTAGAAATAAGAGTAAACTTAGTGACTTTCACTTTCAGCTTGCTTTCCTTGCCTGTATAAAGTTTTGAGAGTTTAAAATCACTCTAGACTGAAAAGCATTATGCATAAAATACTTATAGTTCAATCAACATAGTTTTTTGTTAAAAGAATGTTATAATTTTGTAGCATGTGGGCATCATGATCAGTTCAAATATTTGGATTTCATATTTAGGCTTGAATTTTGGCTGAACAGGTTTTTGCTTTGTTGTATTTTGAGGAGCTGACGAGCTCCTTCAGCCTCTAGAAGAAATGAGGCTAATAGCTCCCTAGTTGTTCAAGGACAGAAGCCTGCAGAAGGTAAGGACACCAAGTACAGCAGAGGCTAAGCATTCGAGAGCAGGGAAATATTGGAGAAAACATGCACTTTCTCAGCCCTGGAAGCGCTCCTTTTTTACAAGACCGTAGGCAAGCTCTTCTCGACCCGGGTTAGTTGTAATCCTTGTGTAATCCATCCTCTGGGCCAGCTGTTATTAGGTTATGTGGGGAAAGTATGTCCTTGCTAAACTTTTGAAGGAAAAGACGAAAGAGCAAGGCTTTATTGCTTTGACAGTCACGCACTCACTTAATATAATCCAAGTGGCTGTTTTCTTTGCAGACCATTCCCAACTGACTCTTTGTGAAGCAAGCTGAATTTATTGAAAGGGGGGTGATAAAATGAGCCACAGACCCATCTTCCTTGATTTGTCCCTAACTCTCAGCTGGGAAGAGAAGTTCATTTGCAAGTGGCAGAACCCCTGGGAGAGAGAGACCCCTGGTGAGAAGATCTAGATTTTGAATTTTTCCATGCCTCCGTGGACTGTTCAAATTGGGATGCTCACTGTAGGGAAACGAAAGTAAAATCCAGAGGAGATACAGAAAATGTAGAGTTCTGTGATAAGTCAATTTTTCTTAATGAAATTCATTCATTCACTTACTTAACGAATATTTATTGAGAGCCTTCTATGTGCTAGCTGTGCACTTGGTGCTGGAGAGACTAGGGGATATATTGACAAACAAGATAAATCATGGCCCGGGGATCATTGATGTGACATATGGTGGAGTAACAGTTCTCAAAGTGTGTACCACATGATGACACCAATTCCATGAAATGCTCTTGACTCCGTCAAAACAAACAAAGTAGAGAGGGGGATTCTTTTCTCAAAAAAATTTAGGAAACACTGTATACTCTTGTTTTGGAGACACACATTGTATCACAGAATAAAAAAGGCTTTGATATGTTCTGCTATAAATAATTGTGCTATTCTTTGTGCAATCTAGCATTTATCGAAAGCACTTAACCATGGAAATCCACATATAAATAGCTTGGGGACTAGTTTTCTGTGCAACACTCTTTGGAAAACACTGGAGGAGGCAACTTGGTAGAAATTAACAAGCATCAGAAACTCTCAGGGTCACAAAGCTGGCTGTGGTTAGTGGTGGTCAAGTGTTGTTGCCACTGAATGAAATCCACAGTGGAAGCCACTGGGCCTGTCCTCTGGGGCAACCAAAGCCACTTCTGCACAGGGCACAGAATTCTCTTACTGTGCGCTTTCCCTGCAAGAAATGACCTGTCCCAGGCACCTGCCTACCCTGCTCTAGTTCATATGCCTTCACAATCCTGGCTCCAAACTCACCTTCGCCTAGGAGCATTCTCTGAAGTGGCATCTTTAGAATAAAAGAAAAATTACTCTTACTATTTTATTTTCTTATTACAACAGCAAAGCATGCTTGTTATAGAAATACTATAAAATGACTTGTTGTTAGTGCCCTCGAGTCGATTCCAACTCCTAGAGACCCTGTGTACAGCAGAGTGGATCTCTGCCCAGTGACCTTGCTGGCATTTGAAGTGTCGGTGGCATAGCTTTCAGCATCACAGCAGCACGTAGCCGCCATAGTATGACAACCGCTAGGAAAGGTGGTGTGACGGGTGGGGTGGTTCCCTGACTGGGAAGCAAACTTGGGCCTCAAATCTTAACCACTAGACCACCAGGGCTAGAAATGACATGAACCATTAAAAGGAAATAAAAGCCCATCCAGAAATAACTACTGTTAATATCTTAGTGACCATCTTCTCAGAGTTCTCCACGTGGCCCGTAAATACATACATATCAAAAATGAGATCATTTGACCTTCTTTGCTTAGTACTATATTGTGACAGTTCTGTCTTGTTTTCATGATACTTGCAGTGCCTCACGGAGGCACTGTAAGTGCCTGTAAGTGCTCAATAAATATTTGATGAATGAATGACCAATTCTAAGGTCTCTTCTAGCTCTAAACCTATTTGATCTTTATCATTCTTTTACTCTGGGAATCTTCCATGTGGCTTCAATTTAACATGTATTCGTTTTTTAAAAATTAATAAACTTTATTTTTTAGAACAGTTTTAGATTTACAGGAAAATTGAGCTAATACGACAGAGGCTTCCCATATATGATCCCTCCCCACCAAGAGTTTTCCTATTATTAACATCTTGCATTACTGTGGAACATTTGGTACTGTCAGTTTTTTGTTCGTTTGTTTTGTTTTTTAACCATTCTAACAGGTGTGTAGTAGTATCTCACTGCTGTTTTAATTTGCAATTCCCTAATAACATATGATGTCATCTTTTCATATGCTTTTGTAAAGTCTGTATATCTTATTTAGTGAGC